AAAGATCCTCACTAAAACGTATTACCCAATCACCAATCTAGATGGATTTTGTCAGGTTGAACTTTGAACAGTCTTTAGTAATCGGCAGCCAGCTGCTCTGACGATATCCACTGTTCGCACATTGCTTGTTTTTAAAAAATTTTTTACAAACTCTGTGGCCCACTTTTGTATTCAGACATTGTACGGGACATCTTATCCGTCTCCCCTCCTCTTCTCATTTGTCTATCCTCTCCAAACAGGCCCCTCCAAACCCGTATCCAGCCATCCATCTGCCCCGAATCCACTTATGTAAGAAGATAGGGTGTAAATATTTTGGTGTGGAGTGTCAGAGCATATCTCCCCCGCCAGCGGGCCCCCGGCCTCAGTCCAATCAGCCATGTTTGTTTGTTCAGCTTAAACTGTTTGTGCCTTGTTTTCCGTGGCCTGCGACTCCCTCCAGCTTGAAAAAAGGGTAACATCCCCCCCCCGCCCCCCCCCCCGACACCCACCCTCCCCAACGCCCTCCCTCTTTCGCCGTCTGTGTTTCCTGGAAGCCACGATAGATAAGCCTTGTAAAGCATGTGTGTGTGTGTGTGTGTGTGTCTGCGTCTGGGGGGGGAGGGGGGGTTGTCTAAACTGTCAGCGTGACTGCAGTTTTTCGGGCCTACAGCCTAATGTTGAACAGCCCTTTACTCACACACAACAAACACGCACAATCCGAACGAGACATCTGCTCCGCGAAACCGCCGCGATCGACGACAAACCCATTTGGCGTCGATCAGCGACTGACTACTACTAACGCCTCGCGTGACGCGCCGCGCTCACAGCTACTCCTCGCAGCCGAGGTCCCGCAGAGGCCACGGTGTGCCGCCGCTTTTTTCACACCCGCGTCAACGTTCCAATATGGGGTTTTTATCCCCTAATAACAAGGCTCCCGCCAATGCGACGCACGCCAGGAAGTGATCCGCACTGTCCAAACACAATGTCAAAGCCGTCTCGGATGTATCCAATTCCAATGTCATGGCTGCGTCTCCAGGTGGATTTGAAAGAGTGACATTCCTGGATGGATGGATTATTTCTCGCACGCGGGCCGCGTGTGCAAATAAGCAATCTGGGGGATTTGTAATGGTTTGGCCCAGTACTGCAGGACCTGCTAATGTATTTCATGCTTGTTTAAGATCGTTGCATGCTCCTTACAAAGGTGCATTGTGATAGGTGTTCCTTATTACCCTGCTCTGTATGTCTGAGTCTAAACACTGGGGCTGGGAGACCAGAGGATAGTGGGAAGGAGGGATGAATGGGCGGCTGATGTGTGTGTTTTTCTTTTTCCCCTCTCTGTCCGTCTCTTCTCACTCTCTCCTTTCCTCGCTCTCCGGTGATCTCTGCATGCCTATTAATGTAGCAGAGGAATGCCTGTGTAAACATTCTTGTTTCTCGGTCCGTTTCGCATAATAGTTGCCTGTATCGCCTTTCTCCTGACCTCACTATCTGAAACCAATTACAGCGGATCCATTTGGGCTGAATCTTATTTTCATAAGGATCCCTGTGTCCCCGTGGTCTCGGTCGCTCTGTGTGTTATTTTCTCTCTTATTTTTTTTCCCTCTTTTCCAACCTCAGTGATGGATATCAACATCAAATATGCCTCTGAGTGCCTTGTTATTTATATAGAGGGGCCTGGCTCTTTCTCTCTTTCTATTCCCCCCCCACTCCTCCCCTCTCTCTCTCTCTATCTGTCTGTCTGGCTTGCTCTCCCTCTCATTCTGAGGAATGTGTCACATTGTGCTGTTTATACAATGTGTGCATTAATAGCCCGGCGATGTCATTTTTTCTTGCATAGCACGCAGGTTAAATAGGCGGTGCGCCTGCACTCGACGGTGTTTTCGTGTCCGCTCCGGCAGCTCTTCAGCAAACTTTTGATGACTTCTCTTGGCATGTTGTGCTTTTTTTTGTGCTTTGAGATGAGCTCCAGCTTGCCATCTCTGTGGAATGGAAAGTGGGTGGCACAAATTGGTGCTTTTTACTCTAATGGCTGAATACTCAGAGCCAGCGTAAGTGAGCAGACAGGACTCTTTACTATTTTTTTATTTTTTTGCATTTTGTCTCCCTTCGCCTTCCACACCGTCACTGACAAAAAGCCTAACCCCACTTCCACAGGGGAAGTGACAGGTAGTCTCCGGCAAGACGAGCCACTCCAAAAGTTTGGCTGGTGTTGATAAGGCTTGTGTTATGTTTGGAGAAGTCCTCCTCTTTATGGAGTCTGGGCAGACTGTTTTTTTCTCACCAAAACCGTGTAGCGTTGAGCTCTGTGCTTCACCTCTCGTACCTCGATATTTACCGGCATGGGTATTGGAAGCGCAGTTAAAAAACCTCTCTTTTTCGTACCTTTGGCGGTGAGTTACACATCGCGTGGCGCCTCTTGGCTTTGGATGTGACGCGTTGAGTCGTTATCGATTCACATGCGGCGTGCGTGTAAACGCTTGACACACACTACCTCGGTTTGCGGCTTCCTTCCAACCACCGCCTTAAGGATTTAACAAACCTTATAATTGCTTTGATTCACCAATCATGGCGAGATTAATTAGGCCCCGGTGTTTTGATTAGCAAAGCGATTGGCTGCATTCAAGCAATTAGTTTTGTCTTTTGCCTTCATTGAAAGCAAAGCGAAAGTTGAGCCGCTTTTGATTTCCTATCCGTTTGGGAAAAGTCCGCACGCAGCGAGGCGCCACGTGGCTGCGTGTGTGACTGTCTACTAGAGGTGTTGATGTGTGGGCACTTTTAATGTGTGCCGCCACAGGCAACCTTATGTGTGTGTGTGTGTGTGTGTGTGTGTGTGTGTGTGTGTGTGTGTGTGTGTGTGTGTGTGTTTTCTGAAGGAAAGCCATGGCTCAGCTTACAGATGTCACATTACACACACACACACACACATGTATAAACCGTTGGCGACTAGGCTCCACTTACCAAGGAGACAGATCAATGCAGCGAGGACCCACTGCCAGTGTAATGTGTTTGTTTACTTTAGTTCAGAAAGCCTGGCTCCTCCTGAGCAGCCAGACAGACAGAACCCTCCACTCTCATCCAATAAAATAACAACGGTCATTGCTTTTATTGAAGCTAATCGGCGTCTTTTCTGGAGCAGGACCACGGCTCCAACATCTCTACTCTTTTATCCCTGTAGATACCTCCCTAACCCCCCTCCTGTCTCATTGACGCATTCCAAACACCACCCTCCCAACCCATTTCTTTTCTACCCTTTTTCCTCTCTCCTCTCTTTCTACCTTTTTTCGTAGGGTGCTGAAGAGGTTCACCGTGCCCGGGCACCACAGCGCATCCTCCCGAGGTAGCTCCCCACCACCCATTGGACCGGCTGAGCGGATCAACTTACTATTGCTCGAGTCTCGCCAATAAAATCTGTAAGACCATCTTGTTGGTGCCGTGAGCGTCGCTAGTGCATTCGCACATAGTGGTGCAAATAAAATAAATAATTCGGA